CCCTTTATCCCCCTTTATCCCCCTTTATCCCCGATGAAAAATTGCAAATTTACCACTTAAGTTAAGGGAGATTCTTCTGTTAACCTTTTTGGGGTACTGTGTCGACAAAATAAGCCTATTGCTTGAGTCCCTTTCAATTTGAAACATACTTTCATAATTTTTTTTAAGGAGGAGCGAGGGGGGGCACCTTTTCTCCTTCTGGTTGAGACAGTCTTTATGGGACTGTCCAAAAACGTGCATATTCGTTCCGAAGCATAGTCAAACTGGCCTAATTGAGCTTCGGTCACCATTGTGGTTTATTCAAAAGAAGAAGGCCTAGCAATTTTCTTGAAATCGCTCCCTAAAACAGGGATCCTGCTGACGAAGAAAGCCTCGCAACCGAGGAGAGGCAACGCTTAACCAGGGTAACGGCGTAGAGTGCAGAGTGAGTCCACTGATCCACGGTACGGTAATTACAAATCCTCTGATTCGCCTCAGCGAAAGGCTCCGACCCGACCCCGGCCGCATCTTCTTCCCCAGCGGAGGCACGGGCGCCTCCCGCGAGACATCGCTCTTCCTTTCTACCCATGCACCTTCCTTGCCGTTCTCTCCCTGCTCTTTCTCTCTCTCTCTCTCTCTCTCTACGTCTCTTTATTTTCTGGCCTGGGCGCGAATGAAGCGGTACAGCTGCTGAAAAACCACTCTGCAGGCCACTTCATCAAGCTCGCATTTGAATCACCATTTCTAGCGGCAGGGGCGAGTCTAGCGGGGTCGGCGGTGGTGTAACAACGCCGAGCAGATTCGCTAACCAATCCGCCCCAGTGTAACGACATTCATTTGTTTCGACTGGCGAACCCCTGATTGGTCCGGATTCTTTGCCGAGCCGTCAGGCGCCGGCAGCGGGGGTGCAAACCTGCTGCCGGCCGTGGCGTGGCGGAGTGGGCGGCCGCAAACGGTGCGCGATAAAACGGAAGGCCGACATGAACCGGAAGGTCGTTTATCATTCCGACCCCAATTGGTAAGAAATGGCGAGAGCCAGCGACGAGAGCTTGATGCTGAGCCTTGGAGGAGAGTAGGGAGGGAAAGAGGCCGAATCGCCAGACCCATGACTTTCCCTAGGTGAATTTGGCAGACGTACAGCTGCATTCTTTCTTCACGAGTGTGCCTGTAAGTTTAAAACCTCCTCAGTCATATGATATGAGTGCGCCCAGGAGAATTGTTTCGTGTGCCTACGGTTTGTGCAGGTACAGAGAGTGTTCTACGATGTAGAGCCTGAACTAGTCGGTTGTTGGTTTTTTCATTGTTATTTTTTCTTCACCGTCCCCCAGACACCGAGCCGGCTCGCCTTGCGGCGCGAACAAGAGGTGCGGCGGCGGAACCTGGCGGGTGATTAATTGATTCATTCCCGGAGAACACGTCGTTCTTTCGCGCAAAGTGGGCGGGAATATTTTTCGCCGTCACTAAGTTTGGCCGCCTTGGCCGCGCTGCAATTTGTACGCCGCTAATGACACTCGCGCGCGAGAGCCGAGCGTAAAAAATGGCCGGGATCACTAGTCAGTCATTCAGAACTTCGCGCGCCGCCGCGCCCTTCTACATTTTCGCGCCGCTCCGCTCGCGGGGCCGTTTCCTGCTGGCGGCGTGGAAATGATAAGAAGCAGAAGGAAAGTTGTAGCAGATTCATTTTCGGTGAGGCTGGCTGTTTTGCACAGGTCAGGGGGCTATGCCCGGCTCTGGCTCCTGCACCCTTCCCCTCTCCCGCTTCGCTCGCTTTGCCGTTTTCCCCCGGGGAAGAAGGTTTGCCGGTGTTTTGATTTTGTTTGTAAACAGTTTGGGCGCGGATGCCGGCGGCGGCTGTGCCTCCTGTGCCCCGCGCAGTCGGGGTGTTACGGGACCCTTGTCTCCTCCGAGTGGCGACGGAACAAAATGGATGCAAAACAGTTTTGTTCGCGACTTTGTAGTTACATGACGTGTTGCTGGATAAGATCGCCCCCATTCTGCGCGTGTTCGAGAAAAGTAGGCAGAGCTAAAACTTTTCATCCTAGTTTTTTTTATCCTTTTCATAAATCAGCTTTTGCTTTTAAGTGATCGGTCCATTTCACGGTGGGGGGCCGTCGTGATACGGAGTGATAGAGCACAGCCTTTTAGTGGCAAGTGCTCGGCGATGTTTTTCAAAACGGAGGGGCGTTGCTGTTGCTGATGGGGAAGCGGCCGCAAAAAAAGAAAAAAAGAGAGAAATAGAGGCCGTTAAGAAACGTGTGTGAGGGGCAGGGCGTGTAGAGCGGCGTCTCAGCGGTCCTCAAGGAAACAACTGCACGCAAGGCCACGGCCAGAGGGGTGTTTTTTTCCTATTTCTGCTCCTATCAGAATGCTATGACTTATTCGACAAGGGCCAGACCTACCTGCTTACATTGGAGATATCGTGCAGGTCTGACTCGCTCTCGGCCTGCTACGTGACATTTCGCTTCCAAATAAGCAATCGTATCTCCAGGGTCAGCCATATACGATGTCTGTGTGTGTGTGTGCCGTCTATCTCTCGCTCAGGCGCAATGATAAAACTTGAATCGGGCACTTGATTAACTACTGGAGCTTTCGTCATACGCCTCCCACCAACCCCGCGCGCAGGGCTCAGCCCCCTTCACGTGATGGGCTCTGCGCTGATTAAATTTTGGATCAGCCAGCAGTCTGTCTCATCAGGGCGGTAGGCGGGACCTTCTCTTCTGCCCCGTCGCCCGCGCCCGATGGGGGAGGACACGATACGACCTTATAGGATCAGATAGGTTCGATAGGACACGATATAGGACGGGGGCGGCGGTGGAACGACAATAACGCCCCTGATATTACTATCGACTGATTGGCACCGGGCAGGGTGTCGTGGGTCAGGTGTGTATGTGTGTGTGCGTGAGAGAGGGCAAAACAATGGAGAGTACAGGAGAGAAGGAACACATGGAGTGAACTTATCTCGGCTCCGCTTAAAGTCAAAAGGAAACAAAAACGCTTGATGCCCGAAAGACAGTCGGAATCGGCCGGAATTAAAATATTCCACGCCACATTATATTTTTAATGTAACTAGAATGTAATGATGAGACCATAAAAATTACATTCTATAAAAGCGCGGTGCCTTGCATTACCTAATGTCATGTAAAAATTAGTTGTCACTTCACAATTTTTCGTCTCCTAAATCGGTTTTACAGATAAGTCGTCACATTCGCTCAAGTATAACAGTCTTTTCAACAGTGCCAAAAGGTTTTCCCAATGCACGCTCAAATGCCTGGCAGCAGCACGGGTCCTGTCCATGGCGTCCGAAGCACCCCTGTAACAAAAGAAATAATGCCAGGATAAACAATATGTTTAATGTATTTTGGTCGGCAGAGCTGGTCCCACTTGTTCGGGGTTGATAAGAAAAGGTTTCAGCGCTACCCCTCTCTCCTGCTGACGCCCAGCGACGTGACTGCCAGCCCTGCTCGCCGGCCTCGGCCAAAACTTGCGCCGCTCGTCGACGCAAAGTTTTGGGTGGTGTGCATGTACCACCACGGGGCCGGAGCCGGGGCGCTCTCTGCTTGGCATCGACATGGACGCTAAAGGCCTGCTGTCTTCCCTCCTCTGTAGAGCGGGGCAGGGGTGGGGGTGTATTGGCCGCTGTGTCATTAGCGCACACTGCCAAGCGAGCCCGCCGCGCCCCACCACACTACGCCCCGCCTAGCCCCGCGCTCGTTCGGCGTCTGCTCGCCAGCGCTGCAGCCGCGCGCGCTCTCGCGGGAGGGACAACGGCGGAATTAGTTTATAATTTTGCACCCCGTCCAGGAGGAAGAGGAGGAGGAGAAGGCCTGCTTGCTCCCCACACCTTGGGGCGATGTCGGGCGTGCAATTTCCTGGCGTTGATGGCCTTCCCGGGCGCTGGACGCGTGACACGCTGCTCTCCCCACCCTGCGCCCTGTCCCCTGCGGCGCGCGGGGCTGAAGGGCATTATTTTTGTCGAAGCGAAAAGTTGAATAGCGGCGGCGGCGGCGGGCGGCAGAGACTTTGTCTAAAGTTGTTCGGCGCGGAAGTGTAACGTTAATGGTTCTAACGTGATCACGCAAGTTAGGCTGTGCCCGCGCTGCACGCTCGCGATAACATCTGCAGCGACGCCCCCGCCACGCCCCGCCACGCCCGACTTGTCAAACGGATTAAAAAGGTGTGCTGGGCGAGAGAGCGAGGCGCGAGCTGAGACAAAATTAATTTTGCGGTCGTGAGACATGATGATGGGTCGTCCCGGACGGTACCCGTCCCGTCCCGCGCCACCCAGCGCTGGCCCTTCATCACCCGCGGCACCAGTAGATAGGCTACTCTCGGTGTGCGACGGTACTGGTACTTGTAGATGTCGCGACTACAAAACTACGGGCAAGATATTTACCGAAATTTGCCAAGCCAAAGTGGCGTTAGAGAGGAGACGCGCACGCGTCGTTCGAATGACGCGGGGTAGCACGGCCCGGGGCGCTGAGAGGGGGAGGGGGACGTGGGAGGACTGGGCGCGCGCCGCCCCGCCCTTGACAGCCCTTTAATTGATGGATAGAGATTGAAGACTGTGCGTGTGCGTGCGCGCGCCGCGGAGACCCCCGTCCTGTCGGTAGAGAGGTGTCGCCCGGGCTTTTGCACCCAGAGTGGCTCCGCCCGCGCACGACCGGGAGGAACGAGGAGAGAAATAATAGCCGTGATGCGAGGTTGCGTAGGCGGTCGCAAGCACTGTAAAACTTTGAGACGTAACTTGATGTAACCCCACAACACAATTTCACAATATTCTCAATAGTTGAAATTTATGTCTTCTCAGCAATTCATCAAAGAACACGTTTTGGTATTTAGCTGATATTTCCTTTCAGACGGATAACATTGGAAAGTAGAGACAGTGGGTTCACTACCGAAATGGGCCACCTTTCGAAAATGTCGGTGATGTAAACCAAGCTATGGTAACGGTCAATTTGACGCTTATCACACAGTAATTCGTTTGAAAGCTCTTTTCACGAGGCATCTGGAAACGCCATCCACTTTCCCACGATATCTGCCTGAAAGAAAATATAAGCCAAAAACCAAAACGTGATCATTGGTGATTGCTGATATATCAGCAATCATGACATGTATACTGATATGTTAGTGATCACAAATGATTGCTGATATATTAGCATACGATGTACACTGTTGAGTTTTCGGAGTACCTCCTTGGTCACACGCCGAAAAGCTCGGTATCATCTACTGGGTCCAATACGCATCGTTACCGCTTTGTCACATGGCGGATGCACAAAGTAATCTTCATACACAAATGGTTCGCCCCAAATGTTTTATCACAAAATGACGACTGCTTTATGTCACATCCGGTCACACCCCGTGATGACTGGTTTAGCGATAGTTTTAGTCACATGACAATTCAGTCTAACAGTATAAAATAAACATAGAGTCGCAGTTCTTTTGGTTCGTTTGGCGGAAAGGCAGGCCTGGCCAAAGCATTTTCGTACGCCAAACTTTCGTTGAAAATCGTCCCACAGATTATTTTCCCAACACCTTTTTTTTATATTGACAAGACGGCCCGTATCGCCCGTCGCGGCGGGCCCATAAAGGGCCGTGTATCGCCGGCTGGAGCTTAGCCAAAGCCGCGGTGCTGTCGGTGCAGGCCGCCGCCGCAGTCGGTCTGGCCCGGCGCCCGGGCCTCGGCGTGGCGCCTGGGACCGAGCGCCGTGACGAGTCATCAGTCACACGCGTGAGACGGCGTCGTGTCACGATGTGTGACGAACGCCACGAACGCGACGCCCAGCGCGGATAAAAGCGGCGCCTTTCTTCAGGCCCACGTCACGGCCCCACGCCGTCTTTGAATTACAGCAGCGCCGTCGACATCTCAATATACTGCTGCTCCAGAGCGCGGAGAAAACGAGGAACAGGGGTAAAAAGTCGTGGCAGTCGCACTTCAGTAGGTTTTTGCAGTTTTAGCGTCAGAACTTGCACCGTAGGAGAAGAGCGTACAGGACTCCCGTCGCCTCGCATCCCCTCCGAGCGCATTCCGGGCGCCAATATTTGCCGGAGCCGGCCGGAGCGCGGCGCGCCGTGCCCGACAGGATCTGTCAGCCCCTACGATCGTCTGCTACCCAACAAACAGGAAAACAGGTCACATTGAGGAGAAAGTTGTAAGAACCTAAGTTTTGACGTAGTCGCGCCAGATTAAGTCATGGAGTAAATATGTGTAAGCCTACAGACAAACCTTGCATTTAGAAATGCTCATGAAAACACACATGCTAGGTTAAAAAAAAGTCCTTTACCATTTGGATTGTAGGATCAAAAATAGTACTTTTCTTATTTGTGAAAATGCTACTCTTGCATTTGGTCGGTCGGTACGGCATACATTTGTGAGTGCGACACGTTAGGTTATCTCTCAGTTATCTGGCCACACGACGGTCATGTCACGTAGCCCCACCAGCAGCAGTGTCACAACGTGCCTCTCCTCCTATCCCCCCTGCTTTTCCCAAGATGCTGCGGCTGATATGAATTTTTTAAGTACAATTACGCCGAGCAGGAGTGGCAAAGCAGGCCGCGTGGAGAGCGGGTCGTGGCCACTGCAATCAGGACACACGGCGTGTTTGCCGAGTCGTGTTTTATGTCGCCTGATGTAAAGCACACTTCGGCTTTAAGGCGCGAGCGGGGATGGATGTGTGCGCCATTTATTTTGCATGAGTGTATGTGTGTGTTTGTTGGTGTTGTGGCTGCTTTTTTGTGGGTAGGTGGGTGAAACCACCACCCGCTGTCGCTGTGCTCAGCGGCGTCAATCTCGCCTGCTGCATGCTGGGCGAGATGAGGATGAGAAAGTTTGGTCTAGAGGCGCGCGCGCTCGCCTTGTCAACGCCCGGCGCACTTTTGCCCGACCCAGATCTGCTTCGCATTCTTGCGAAGGGTCACTGCGTCTAACAGGGCCACTTACATCCTCAACAAGTTGTTGGTGCTGCTGTTGTTGTTACCAAAAACTGGCCTGCCGGCCGGTAACGAGACAGTCCAGCTCCAAAAGCAAATTCAAAATATACAGGCGATAATAAGGTATCAAAATAAGACTGAAAATCTGCTTATCAAATCTGGAACGTTAATCGGCAATATCGACAACGGCAACCTTTATCAAGACGGGATTCTTTCACCTTCGGGTACAGGGACTGTCTATTAGATAAATTCACCCAACA